TGTATCATGTTTAAAGAAAATTATTCAAACCCTACAACTTCACTAACATTCTTCCTTCCCTTTGCACTCCCCTCACTGATCTTTTGCTAAGAGCTGCTGTAAGGAAATACTTCTCTGCATTTCTCTTGTTCTGTCAGTAATAATGGTGAGCCTGAAACCCCTTCTGCAGTGGCAACTTGCAGTACTTCACTAAATTGTGGCTTTTGGCAGATAAATAGAGTTGGTAAAATTTGTTTTGATCCCCAAAACCCTCATTTATCTTCCCATTAAAAAAAACACATATATATAGATATATGTATATATTCCAGCTTCCATTCTTCGCCTTCAATCTGTAAAAAACAGCATCTGATGTGGTTTCTGTGTTGATTTTCATGATGATTTTTAGCCTGTCAAAGACCTTCTGTCTCAACAACTTTGAAACAAAGATTTTTTGAATAGATGAGGAAGTGCAGCTGCCAGATGAACCGGCACAAGGAACTGGAAGGGGAGGATCTTGCAGATGGTTCTAATGAAACTGGGCAAACAGCAAACGGGGGCGGGGGGAGAGTGGGTTGAAATGCAAATTGCAATCCCAGTGCAAGTTTTGGGGTTAGTTTGTGAAGGAAAGTTGCATAAACAGCCATTTGAGGCTTTGGCACTGGGGGCAGTGTATTGTTGCTCTCAGTTTTTCCTGTTGCCACGCTGCTGCCAGCGTCTCCTTGTCCCTGTGTCCGTGCTGCTACCTGAGCTGGGGTGGCTGTGCCAAGAGCCCTCCTCTGGAAAGGCCCATTCAGCTATTCATAGGGCTTTTAGGAACATGAAATACCAATAACAGGCTAGGTTTTCAGGAGCTGCTGAGAGAGGAAATTGTGCTTGTTGGAGCACAGAGCAGTAAAAATGGAGCAGAGGCTTGTGTTGCTTCATTGTTCCTGTCTGCTATCCCAGAGCCAAAACTGCATTTTGGCCAAGCCTTGATAAACCCTGTGTTTGAAGTTTGTACTACCTGATTCATTCATAAGGATGGAGGGTGACTAGTTGTCATTTCTGTCTTTTCTGCTAATTTTATTCTCTTATTCAATGGTATCGGGTCTGTAATATTAGGCCAGCAATTAATGAATAAAATTGCAGTAGGAGAGATGCACATGAGGGCCAGGATAGCCTCTGGTGGTCTCAAATTCAATCACTACTTCTTGACATGATAATTTGGGATTCTTTGGTGGTTCTTCAGGCTAGAAAATCCTACTGACACCTCATTTCCAAAGCCAAAACAACTAAGTCTTTATTTTTTTTTCTTCCTCATGCTAATCTTTCCCTTCTTCAATGAAAGGAAGAGTGTTTGAGAGCACACAGGCTTTCAGCTCACACAGCAGCCCTTGGGGATGTGTCTTCATCTTGCTGTGTCAAAAGCTTTTCAAATCAGTAGTTCGGGAGCAGCAAATCCTTCCAAGGCATGAGTAACAGATACTTGTTTTATTTAAGAGTCCTTAAGCATGAGCAAGTCATTAAGTACTTCCTTTCTCCCCATGAATCAGTTCTATTTTAAACAGTCATCATGTATTTAATATTTTTTTAAAGTATCAGAAGTTCTGACTTTTAAACTTTTCAGGAGTCTCTCGTGTACCTCTGTGAATTTGTATTAAAAACAAATCTGTCAGGAGCTGTACTGATGCTTTCCCTTTCTCCTCCAAAAGTGGAAATGCTGTGTGTGCAGCATTTCTTTGCCCAAAGGGACAATTTGGAAGTGAAGATATTATTGCTCTGAAAGCAGAGCACATCTCTCCTGGTCAGTGGCTGTGTAATGCCCCCACCTGAGCGGCCTCAGGAGCTCAGCAGCAACCCCCAGCAATGTCCCCCTGGGGGCTGGGAGTTCCTGGGGGCACAGTTTGCTGTGCCAGGGGGTCCCTGCAGCCTCCTGGGCAAAGCTGCCCTGCTCAGGGTGTGTGTGGGACTCCACTGAGGGGATCCCATGGTTTAATGGATGCTTTGCTCATGGATGTTGACCCTGTGATGTTGTCATGCTTCTCTGATTCAGTCCATTTGGAAAGAATGTTTCCCCTCTCTTGACTGTATCATGCAAAAAGGATAACAAACATAAATATTTTTAGTTGGGTATTTTTGCAGGGGTTTGTGTCCAAGATACAGCATGCTGAGACACTAAACAGCACAAGTGTTGCCAGAATCCTTCCAGGCTGGCAAATCTGACAGCCAGCTGAAGGCCAGGGTGAGCTTTTATGATAAAATCAGGCCATGTACTGAACGCTGAAGCATCACCAGTTGTTCACAGCTCAGGAAGAATTCACTTGCAATCATCATGAATAGGAAAAACCTTTCCAAATGAAGCTTTGTTTCCTTGTGGGTTGTGACAGTGTTCACAAGGATCTGGCTCCATGTTTCAGAAGGCTTGATTTATTATTTTATTATATATATTATATTAAAACTATACTCAAAGAATAGAAGAAAGGATTTCATCATAAGGCTGGCTAAGAATAGAAAAAGAAGGAATGAATAACAAAGGCTTGTGGCTCAGACAGACTCTGAGCCAGCTCACTGTGATTGGCCATTAATTAGAAACAATTCTATGAGACCAATCACAGATGCACCTGTTGCATTCCACAGCAGCAGATAATCAATGTTTACATTTTGTTCCTGAGGCCTCTCAGCTTCTCAGGAGGAAGAATCCTAAGGAAAGGATTTTTCATAAAAGATGTCTGTGACAGTGGGTTTGCTTCCATTTTTGCCTCCTTACACAGTCAGCAATCATAATTCAGATGGAGGGGTTTGAAACAGCCTTCCTGTTCCTAATCTTGTGAGGAGGTGCCCCTTTACCCCTGGCTGTCACTCAGCCTGACAGGCCAGGAGCTGCTCCAGCCCTGGCAGCCCCTTGGGATGGGTGCAGGGATGGACTGTGAGGTGTTTGCAGGAATGCTCTGTGATTCATTTGTTGAACATTCCTGCCCTTTGTGCTGCAAGGACAGCAGAGGGGACCAAGGCACATGGCAGCTCTTCACAGGGGCTTCTCCTGCCCCAGCCCCCAGGGAAAGCCAAGGGAGATGCAGAGGGACTCATCTGCAGCATCATTCACTCCAGCCATGTGAATTGCCTCTTTGGAGCAGCTGCTAAAAAGGATTGCACATCATCTTTATTGATTAACTTCAAATGTTTTAAATGGATCTGTAGTACTGGGCACTGGAACAGAAGTGAATATAGAGTGGCTTGAGTCATTTCTTTTTGAGTGGTAGGTTGTGTTTTTCAAGTCCCTGTGCTGCTTGTGAGTACAATGACAACTGTATCTGTGATCTCTGTGCCACCTGTTGCCTTAGCTACCATTCAATGTGCACTGTGCTGGTGTTGGAGATAAAATGTTTTCTGTGGCACCTATGAAACACCTCAGTGATCTCACAAGCCACAGGAACACCAGATTTATATCCAGCTGTGGCAGTGAGTCTCTGCTATCTCCAGCTGTGCAGCTCCACAAGTGGAGGCAAAGGGCAAGGAGAGCCCTTTGTACTGCTGGGCAAAGCCTGCAGAATTTTAGGACAGAAGTACAAACACCTGCATGCAACTAAAATTTAAAAATGCAGGTAACTGTTGATACTTTATTATATAGCTACAGCTCTGGCAATGTTTCCTGGCTTGGAGCTCCCTATAGAGATGTGCCCAGAGGTGCCCACAACCTGGGAACAGGTTCTGCAGGCTGGTGGGCACTAAAGGAGGAGAAATCCATCCCCCTCCTTCCCCAGCCAGCTCCTTGAACTGCAGCATCCTGCATGAATCCACAAAGTTCCCAGTCTCTTGTTCTTCTTGCCCACAAAAAAAAGATTTTGGAAGGGGTTAAAATTTTACACAAACAACATTTCCTTACGCTGAGACTTTAAATAATCTTTCATTGTAGCCATTCTATGCCACAAAGTGTTGGCTGATTTCTCTTTTCTTCAGGGCTCTTTATTTCAAACAACTTGATAATATGCAAAGAAAAAGTTTGCTGCTGTGTGAGGATGTCAGAACTACAAAGGATTGTGGTGTTCCCTTAACATTCCTTCTGGAGGCTTTGCAGGGCTCAGTTCTCATTCCTGTTCTTCTCCTGCATCCTATTTCTGGCTAATCCCATCTGCAAAAGCAAATTGGTTGGTAACACTTGGGTTAGGAGAAGATTCAATCTTCTCCATCCACAGGAAATTTTTTCCTCATCTCTAATATCTCTATTTAGGCAATGAGCCACAAGTTGAAGAAATGATTTAGGGGTGATTCCCTTACCTGCCTTCAATTCCAGGATGTTCACCCTTCTCATTAAGTCCACTGTCAAGCACATAATGTGTGTTTTCTCTTTGGATAATTCTTATTCATCTCACTTGTTGCTGCTCATCTGCAGGGCTATTTCAGAATCTTCCTTTCAAATGTCCTAAAAAGTCCTTTTGTGGTGATAGTCGTTGTCAAGGAGTTCTGGTTGTGCTGCTCAGTCTGTGCCCTCACCAGGCTCTGTTTGCTTTGCACACAAGTTTAAGTGCTTTGCTCCTTGTTATTTGTGGCTTCCCTTACACAAATTATTTGTGTTTGCTTTTTTTCTGCCAACTTTGTCACCCACAAACGTGTTCACACTTGGAGTCACAAGAAGCAGAATACCAGAGGAGGGGAAAAAACCAACCCCACAAACAAAACCCCAGGAGAACTGGACAGAGCTGTTCCCTTGAATAACTCCAAAGAGCTCTGCTCCTTTTCCCAGGAAAAGTCCTTCATTCTTCCAGTGGGTTCTAGAGGCTGTTCCTCAGCCTGTGCCTCCAATCTGCCTTCCTTGCAGAGCTGCAGCAGTGTGCTCCTGGGGAGTGGGAAACAAATGGGAACATTGAGGACCAAAATCTGAGGTGCCAGCTCTGCAGCCAGAATTCTGAAAATAATTCAAATGTGTGTTTTGTAAAAAAAATGCTCTCACAGCATTTAAGAGATCAGGAGGTCACTCAAGGAAAATTTACAATAAATCAGATTTGACATTTGTTTGAATTAATCTTCTTGTCTGTCTTTCACAGAAAATGTTGCTGCCCTGACCAGCAGTAATGAAGAGAAGGGAGTGAAGCGAATTTGTCTGGACAAGTGGGAAGTTTGAAATTTTCAGCAGGATTTATTAGCAGTGGCTGCAGGAGGCTTTGCCAAGCCAACCATTGACATGAGAATGGATTCAGTGCCTCAGACTTAAGTGGTAACTCATTTTTCTGCCATTTTTTTGATTTCCAATACAGTACAGCAGGATAACTTATATTATAGATGATATTGTTTTACTACTACCAGAGTTTAAATAGAGAATCTTACAAGAGGCAAACGTGATTTTGTCAGCTTCATTCATTAGCAAAAAGTTGAAATTTTAGTATCTGGTGCTTTATTCAGTAGTGGAAATTTCTTCCTGTGGTTTTATCCCATGTCTTCATCTTTGAAAAACAAAAAGAGTTTTATCTATTACTGACTGTCTTCCTACCCAATGCCCAGCAAAATGCAGTTTGGAACAGGGCGTAGAAGTAGCTCTGTCCCTGTTTTTTGTTATATTTTAAGTACTTTGTGTGACTCCTGAAACCTGTGGAAAGGTACATTAATTTGGCACACTAGGAAGTTTGCTTTTTTCTGCTGACATTCAATATTTCCTCAAAAATCTTTTTCCATTTTCTTCTTTTCTTTGCTCTTATTTACTTATCTTTTTCTCTGCCATTCATAGCTGGGGATTAAACATCTGAATACTTCTATGCCTGTTCTCCTGAGGTCAGTTTAGTAGTCAGGAATACAAAAGTGTTGTACTTTTTGAAGTTAAATTGGGAGCAGAAAGACCCCCAGGTCTGTCTTGCTGTCCCATTTTGGGCTCTGTGCCTTTGTAACAATGTAGAACTGGCCACTAAAAACAGAAGCTTTTAAATGGGTGAAGGGGAATTACCATGTCTTTATTACCACACCAAGATGATGTTTCCATGTCTTTTGAGGCAAGAGAGTGAAAGGAGGTGTTTGTGCTCTCCTCAAAGCCTCACTAAACCCCAGCTCAGTAGACTCTGCCTTAGTTTGAAAACTGTGATGTAACTGCATATATCAAAAATGACATCTCACCACATTCCTTTCATTTGTCATGAACAAAACAAAGGAAATCTGTTATGTGCTGTGGTTTTGTTTGAAATGCTTATCTCTTATTCTACCCTCTTTTATTTAGAGGGAGAGTGAACAGATCTGACAGTAGTTCTATGTGACTGATGGCAGAAAAATTAGACCAGCATTTCTGAACCTCACACATATAGCTGTTGTTATTTACCAGTCCAGGTGAGGTGTTCACTCCACCCCTGTATCACAGCCTGTGTTAGAGCTTCAATGGGAGAACAGTCAGTGCCCCAGGAGGATTCTGTGAGGTTAAGGGTGGGATTTCAGGAAATGGTCAGCATTAATGTAGCAATTCTGTCTGAAACCCACCCTGTGCTCTGTGGCTGTTGTGAGAGCACAGTCAGAGCAGCACTTAGGAGCCTCCCAACCAAGAGCTCAGAGCCCAGCGAGTGCACCAGGTGCTCAGGAGGCTGCCAGGTTCCTCCCTCACTGAGTTCCCCTCTTTAGGAGCTGTCTGGTTTGTTGCCAGAGTTGTTTCTATACTGTGTCAGTGTCTTCTGCTGCATTGGCAGGAAGGGAGGGCTTGCAGATTCCATCTGTCTGCAGTGGTGACAAATGGAGCTCAAAAAGAACTTAAAAGAAAAATGTTTTTCTTCTTTCAAGATTTCAGATTTACTGTGCTCTCCTTAGTGCCTTTTCTCTGTTGTTCCCTGTAGCCCTGCAGTCCTTTCTCTTTGAAGGTGTGCACAGATCCTCAGATATGATTCACTCACGTGTCTAATGAGAACAAGAAAAAGACAGTTCCAGCTCTAATGACTGTTTTGGAAAAGTTTTGGAGCTGGAGCACCTCACTAGGATGTTTGGTTTCTGTAGGGCACTTTAGAGCCACAAATATGAGCAGCACAAGTTACAAAGCAGTCCTAGTCACAAACTCTTGCCCATTCTTACAAAGGAAAATGCACCCCCTTGGCTTGTCTGTATGCAGGCAGTCAGGAGGGGATACAAACACATTCTAACCACCATCATTAGAGGAAACATTCCTAGGAAACTGAAAGGTGATGTTTTTTCTGCTCCCTTGTACATCCCTGCCTGGCAGAGCAACTTCTTTGTGCATTCAGCCTTTGACAAAACAGCACTAACTGTAAATCTGCTGGGGACAAGGACTTCAGCTGAGCAAATAGGTTCCCATAATTGTTTCTGCATTCAAATTACTATTATTTAGCTGATAAAAGTGACAATCAGAGGCCCAGAAACAGGGAGAACAATGCTATGGATAGATTCCTCTGCTGACACAGGAAGATGTTCATCAGCTGAACAGCAAGGGGTTTTTGCAGTTGAGGGAACAGCTGGGTGGGATGAGCCTGGGAAGAGCCAGGGCTTGCTGCTCTGGGCAGACAGATCTCCTTCCTGCATCTCCTTCCTGCTGGAGATGCTCTGGAGTGGCCTAGGTGGGAACTGATGGAGTGCACAAATTCTTTCTGTCTCTGAGAGCAGCTGGAGGATGTTGCCTGGGAGGTGCTCTTGGCTCAGGGATTTTACATGGGAGGGTTTTCTCTCAGCTTGAGAACACATTTTTTCCGCTTGACTCACTGACTGAAATCTGAATGAGTGATAAAATTTCTAAAAGTAATGTTGAATTGGTTGGAAAAATAAAAACTGCATTTATCATCAGGAAGGAAGGACAAAGTAAGGGGAAAGATTCAATGAAGAGGAAGTCACCACCTTCCCAGGAACAATGGGAGGCTGTGGGCAGCTCACACACCTCAGCCTGCCTGGCTCTGCAGCCACACTGAGGATTCTTCTGAGGCCCTGTCAGGCTCCTGTCCCACACACAGGACCCACACACATTCTGTGGGATGCTTTCATTGAGGAGGCTGCACCAGGAACGTGCTTGCAGAGCTTCCCTCACTGTACAGAGCTCGAGCCCGTGTGGGCATGAAAGGAGGCTGCCCACTGACTCCTGCAGGAGCCATTCCTTTCCAGGAACAACACCAGCCTTTGTTGCTTCTCTTTGCCTTGGCACAAAGAACAAGGAAGGAGCAGAAAATGCTGGCACTGAAGAGGAGCCATGTGAGCTGCAGATAAAGTGAGGTATCTGCAGGGACAGGCAGGGGCTACTGACTTAGATGGATTTTTAGGATAATAATAACCATAATAACATTCTTTTAATGATCTTACATTTCTATAGTGCATTTCCTGTGTGCATTCCTGAACAGTTTTCCACCCTCCAAGTGCTGTATAATTTCTGTGTGCTTGCAGTTTGGAGAAGCTTTGGGCACAGAGCTGGGTGTGCTCCCCTGCAGAACAGGCCAGCTGCTTCCCTCTCAGGGCAAAACAGGGAGCACAGGGGAACATTTGAACTGCAATTGCACATGCACAAAAGAAAGATGCAAAATTGAGGATATTGATCTCAAAAGAAGCTGAAGATACTGAAGGCAGGATCTGTTTGAGTTGGTGGTTAAGAAAAAATTACTTTTTTTCTTCCAGAGACCAGGCTTGTTCATTTGTCAAGTTCAACCAGGCTTTTCCAGCTGAGGTTTTAATGGCTGAAGGCTGATTCCAAATGGAAACATTGACAGACTAAGCAACAATAACTTAATATTTTTTCCATGTCCCTATATGCACTTCTTTCCAGAGGGCAGTTCAGATTTTTCACGCTTGCAGGAATCTCTGTTTTCACTTGGACTTATCTCTGAAATGTGCCCATCACAGGTGTGTTAAAAATTCTGTCCTTGTCAGTTTAGCTGATAGAAGGCAGCTGAGGCTGTGTTTGCTTGGATTAATGCTGGTGTGATGGCTGGAAATTTCAAATAAACAGGACAAAATGGAAAAATTATCTTGTAATTGTGTGGGACTCCTGGTCTTCATTTTGGCCATGCCCCTGTAAGTTCCATCCAAGCAGATCTGCTGCTGGGGGTCTTGTAGCTCCTTTTGAGATGGGATGGCAGATTGCTTATTGCAGGAGGAGGGAATTCTCAGTGGCTGGGAGGTGAGAGGCCTTGCTTAGGGTGGGGTCTCCTGCTTTCATTTGCTCCATGTTTGTAACAAATTCACTTTCCCTGAATTTCCATCATGTGAAACTTGTGTCTTTAACTCTGTCATTTCTTTTATCAGCTGCTCAGTTGGTGATAATTGCATTGTGTTTTTCATACTGGGTCCTTTCATTTTTCTCTAGTCTGGTATTATGTGATGTGGCCTTGGCAAGAAACACATTCCCATTCTTCCAAACAAAAAAAAAAAAAAATCCCAAGCCAAAAAAAGAAACCTGCATACAGTTCAGACCCTGCTAATTAAGAAAAGTATGAACTTCTAGGTGAAAAAAATAATTATCACATTTGAACCTGCTGCAGGCAATAATCATTTCCATGGAATGCAGCTAGTGCCACTGTGCCAGGGTTCTGGGCAGTGCTGGTACTACAGCACCCACCTCATCCAGGGAGCTGCTGCAGCAGCACTTCTTATGCCCCCTTTAACACAAAATAATTGGAGTTTTGGAGGCTTCTCAGATTCCAAAGGTTTCTTCACTTTATCCAGAATGCAGCTTTTTCTCTCAAACATGCATTTCCCTGGAGCTGGACTAGATGACCTCCAGCCACCCCTTCACCCCTAATGATCCTGTGATTCCTTAACCCTCCCCAGAATAAGTCTGAAAATGCTCTCAGAACCAGCTGGTGATGGTGCACAGTCTTTGTTCCTTTGCTCTTCCAAAGAGGAGTTCTTTCAGCCCAATCATCTCTATCTTAAATATGAACATTAGCATATCTATATTTTAAGCAGAAATACTTCACAGGCAAATAGGCAGGGCTTTAAAGAGACTTCAAAATATTTCCAAAAATACCTGCCTTGCTTTCTTTTTCAGCCTTGTCTTATGTATCATTCTCTATATGAGTTAACCTACTTTTTTTGCTAAGCTTTTATTTTTGTTCTGTTGCTTTCCATTTCTGGTGATATAAATTCTGTGTATTCTCTTGGGGAGAACTGCAGGTTACACTTTAACTTGCACTGTGGTGGCAGTGCTTTGTGATTTACATTACAGTGGCATTCCAAAGATATTTCACAAAATTCAGACTTTTCCTGCTGAAGGAGCGTGGTAGGCCATGTGCAAACATAACTGGGATTGTTTATTTT